AATCATGACTAAATCAATAGACAGTCTCCAAAGCCCCTCCTCACTGTACTGAATCCTATCTAAATATCTCCATTTTCAGTTACAACTGGCTAGGGATCTTCAATGAAAACCATTGGGTTATGAATTTATGGGCAAGGCTTTGAGGTGCCAGATAAATTACTATGCACTCAAAGAAAACAATAAATATGACTTTCACTCTAAGCACAGGGACTAGTATGTAACAGGAATACCATAAATATGACAAAAATAATAGTTGTCATTGGAAAATTTCTACTAAATGCCATATAACTGCTTTGTCTGTATTATTTAATCCTTACAACAATCTAGTAGTATTACCACCACCATCATTCCCATTTTCCTGAAATCTAACAAACTTTAAGAGGTTAAAATAACTCACCTAGAAGTACATAATAGAGCCTGGATTTGAATCCAAGTTCGGACCCTCTACAAAGATGTGCTAAATAAATGAATGAAACAGTAACTTGTTTTTTAAAAAAGTTCTTCCACCATATTAACATCAAAACAGTCTGCTCCAAACCAACCAGATATGCAACTGATTTTAGCAATACCCATTACTCATAACAAGGGCAGGTACATAGCTTAAAGGTCCAAAAATTTCATGACCTCAGGTCTTTTCATTCCACCAAAAGGAACATACACCCTAATATAATCAATTCAACTAGCAGGACAGAGGGATAATCTAAAATCTGGAAAGTTAGCCAAATTCTGTTGTAATAATCCAACATAAGGGCCAGGATTGTCAATTTAATGTTCACAGCAAAAAATATACTCAAGTGACAGGGATAGTGGTGATATTAACAAAAAAAACAGTTAACTATACAGGAGAAAGAATCTAAGTAGAGATCTAAGTAGACATCTAAGTAGAGGTGCCAAGTAGGCAGTTAGATATTCAGGACTTGAAACCAGACAAAAAATTAAAGTCTTGGGTATCACTACCATGATATGATAGCTATACGAATGGGTGAACGCTCCAAGACAGTAAAGAAAAAAGTAAGTAGTATAGGCCAAAGATTGAGACTGATTAAAAAAGAAGATGATGATGAAGAAGTGGGCCACGGAAATCCAGGAAAAAAGAATTTAAAGAAAGAAAACTCAAAAATCAATCACTTGAAAATTGATTTACATTTATTTTCCACACTCCAAAAAACTAATCAGAAATGGCTGTCATAAATAAGTACGTAGGAACTATGAGCACTGTTAAGACTCTGAATTAGCACTGGTTCCCTTCTTTCCCTTCAATTCATCCATTGCTACACCTCTACCAGCTAAACAAAAATTGGAAAGGTCATGCTTAATTGCATCCTTAAGTAGTGTACTAAACATGTTACAGGCAAGATAGCTGTATTATCAGGAAATGTATGTCAAACTTCCAGACAACTTCAAGACAAATATTTGCTTAACCCTCCTTACCATCTACTTTTCTATTTCCTTTTTAATTTATAAATCATAGGCATTTTTTCCCTCTGGAAATATTTAAGACTATTTTTCAACTTGCCCATACTCTGTTTTCAAAGGTTATCAAAACTACTTAGAATTTATTTTCAAAATTTAATCATTCTCAGGTTAAAAAAAAAGTTAAGAAAAGGGAAACAGCTAATGACTATAAACTATAACATGGAAGAAAGAAACATTAGGAAACTGTAAAGATTCTAACTTACAGAAAACCAAAGTTGAGTAGCTAAATGATCTAGGAAATGAGTGAATAGTAATGATAATACATAATGTTATCATAGTATCTGCAAAATACTTCAGCATTTATATTAGCAATATGAACACTGGACTTACCAAATTTTTGAAATAAATTAAAATTGTATGCATTCAAGGAACAGTTGGACAGCCACTTACTGAAGCTTCTTTCAGCTATGTTACTTTACAACTACTACTATTTATTACTAATATCTCAACAAAAAATGTCTTGTGACCAAAGTGGTTCAGCAAACTCTTCTAAATTCTTCTAAAATCAAAAGGTCTGAACTTTCATTTCTGAAAAGTGGCACTGCTCCAGAAAGTGAAGAATGAATTTAATTTGGCAACTTTAGATTTTAAGATTCCAAAACAAAACACCCTAAACCTAGAGTGCTGGATATGGAAAAGCATGCAATAAATATCAGTTTTAAGAACTCAACAAAGGCCAAAATATAACAGGATAAGGTAATCAATGTAAAAGGGATAGCAACTCAACGAGATGTCCAGAGTCCAGATAGGGAAAAGTAAGTTACCAAGGCATAGTGAATAATGAATACTTAGTGATAAACACAAAAATCTCATGCAAAGAAAATTTATGCTAGACACTGTAAAAGAGAAAAAGGAAATTTTTGTCTCCAAAGAAAAATTCTACCTTTACCAAAAACATATAGATAAGGAAATAAAATTTCAATACCAATAGACAGTTGCAGAGCTATACTGAAAAAAGGGTCATGGATTTTATTAGTGCAGGGATAGGGGAAGATAACCAAATTTGCTGCCTATTCACTTCTCAAAAAAAGTCTTGGACTCCATGATACTCGACTGTCCTAAGTTTGAAAGCCCTTGATTGCCTAACTTTTCCTCCTTGTTACAAACTTTTAATCTTTTATCCCTAGTTCTCTAAGGTCTCTCCTCACATATCAGTTTCAACTTGCACCACTGAGCAAATGTTTTCCAAATAGTTTTCTTTAATTATTACCATTTCTTCATAGCTGTTTCACTATCCCCTCTAGCCCAACATACATCTAAAATTACCTATTCTTTGCAAGCAATTTGCAGGAAAAAAAAACTGCTGTTTTCACCCATATTTTCTCATCATTCTATATAATCTAGGCTCAAATTTTTAGAATCATCTATTTCTTTTCTTTGGCTCCCTCTTGTCACCAAACCTTGCCAATTATGTTTCTGCAATTCTCTCTTCCCATACTCATGCCCCAGAATAGGCTTCTATCATTTCTGGACTGTTACTATTTCAAAACTCTCCAGTCTCACCCCAGCTCATCTCTGCTCACAATTACCAGATTAATCTTTTTCATTCATCCTGAAACAGTCCTGTTTATAAATATTTAAAAGCCACAACATACTGAAGAAAATCTAAACATTCCTAGGTCTAGCAATCAAACACTAATCTATCCTTCAAGCTTTTATCTTCTGCTCCCCTAAACATGTCACAGTCATTCAAGTCTCCACCCTCAGCTCATAGTATCTTCCACTTTCCTTTTGATTCTCTTCTAAAAACATACTCTGGTTCTCTCAACTCACAGTGATTTTTTTTTCATTTTTATATTACCTGTACCAATTACTTGAAATTTATCATTAATTTTCTCAATCTATGAAGTACTCTGCTTTGTTTCTGTGTATGTATGAAACTAGTTCTTGTTAGGTTTGTATATAGGAGATCATGTGGTTGTACCAAGACCAATTTCAAATAGATCAGACTCTCAAGGAAATTAGCCATGACTTAAATTTCCTTGTATTCTCCACATTTCAGTAAATCACCAAATTAAACTATAGCAAGATTAGAAGACAACCAAAGAAAAACAAGTTACTAAACCCTCCCTACAGTCCAACTTCAGGGAACACGTAAATCAAAAAGCAAAGTAAAATCAAACTATATGGAAATTGGCTAAATGGAAAGATATGCGCTAAAACCTTCCACTTCTCTTATTCAATAAAGCGTTTTAAATTGCATTAAGCATTATCTTGTTTCTCAATATGAAGAGTACCCATAATATGGGTGAAATTTCAAGCACAAAACCCACAGTATTCCTATTTCACACCAAAAGCTTTTGGGAGAAACATTCTAATAGAACTATAAACATTTAAAAATCTATAGTTTTAGAGTAACTGAAATAAATGCTAATTTTAAACGACCTACATGATTTTCCTGATTCAAGATGAAATTCTTAAATGATATTACTTCTATAGATGGCATTATTTTGTTCACTTAACCTGAAATACTATTTATATATGACATTTTCTTAAGAGGCAGTAAATTACTATTTATATACATATTTTCTGCAATTTTAAAGACTGCCAGGTTTTGTTTCGGTTGAAATAGAATTGTAAGTTTTAATTGTTCACTAAAGTGAGAAACTTGCTCAGTTTGCAAGCAAATTGACAAAACCTGAAAACTCCAATATTTATAGATAAGTGTATATGCTATCCCAATTAAAGATTTTAAATTAGAATTCTGTCTTTTAAATAATTATAAACTGCTTTAAAATATTTTTAAATAAATAACTGTCAATTACCAAAAAAGGCAGTTGCGGGAAAATAAAAGTACTTTTTAAAAATAATAGTTTATTTTTACATCATTTTGTGCCTTTTTCCATCCCAGTTGTAATCCCCGTGGGCTTCCCATCATCTGTGTGCCATCACCATAGTCCAGTGCACTTCCCGCCCCCCACATTAAGTGGTACTTTTTTAATCTACAATATTGTAAAAGACGTTAATACTGAGGTGACCTATTATCAGTTATCTTTGACTTTTTACACTTAATAGCCCAAAAGTTCCTTCCGTCACCTATGACATTTTGGCTCAAAAATCACTTCCTCATTATCGATTCTTCATTGTCATTTCCAACTCTAAAAACTAGACCCTCAGGAGTTAAATCGCTGTCAATGGAAAGAAAGCTTGATTAATGATCAAGCTGACCAGAAAGATTGCTATTACTAAGACCGCCAATCAACAGTCTACGTACGTAGTAAGTTATACCTCTGACGTGGTAACTTTTTATATGATGCCTGCAACAGTAGTTTTAAGTGTCTTTTGTGTAGTGATGAACTAAGTCACAGCTAAGAATTCAGAGAGTAGTTAGTATAGCGCTGATAAGTAGGGACACGGCACGAGATACTAGTGGTACTCCAAAATTCTCTGGATGAAACAACAGGTTTTCGATGTTTTCCAAGACTACGCACACCTGACGTTTTCTTCTGCACATAACTAGACTAAAAAGAGAAAAGCAAAAACACACAGAACCCCCAGTCAAGCAAGAAAACCGTGCTACTCACCAGCAAACAATCCGAATTCACTTCCGATTTGGGATCCCGCAGCAGGTTGTCGATTTTTTCAAACCGAGTCTCAAAACTGTCCCCAGTCGACATGTTGCTGCTGCTATGACAATACCCTAGCACCAGCTCCAGCAGCGGAAAGCAATTTCAACCAACTTCCTCCGCGGTGCTCAGGCAGCCTCCGGGGCGGAGGAGCCGGAACCTCAGGGTCACCAGGTGCGCCCGGTTCCCCCTCTTCCTCCTCCTCACAGAGGGGATCTCCGCTCTCCAGACCCCGGGCCCGGGGCAACAGCGACCCACAGCCGCTCCGGCACCCAAAGTCGCATCCCACCTGGCAGCCCCTCACGACAGCCGACGGCGCCGTAGCCACCAGCCTCGTCTCTCCAGCGAGGTGCTTCAGCCTAGCGGGCCTCGGCCGCCTTCGCCAACGGAGGGTTCCTCGTCCCGAGATGCGCAGGAGGGGAGAAAGAAAGAGAAGCAGGGTGGAGACTCTCCGGCAGAGGGGAGGGAGAAGAGGAAAGGCGAAAGCAAAGGGCGGGTGCAGAGTTGTGCCAGCTGCTGCCGCTGCCGCCGCCGCCGCAGCTTGGGCCACGGGCCCGTCCCGCTGTGCTCTGAGGCGCCGGATGCGATCTAGCCCCGCATCCCGGGCTCTGCGAGGTCCGATCCGAGGTACCGATCCGTCACGCCCAAGAGCTGGTCCTCGCGGGACAGCTTCACTCTCCCATTTTGTCCCGTCGCTGCTGAGGCTGCCGCTGCGGTGACCGCCGGGGCTGGGCGAGGTCGGTGCCCGATGGAGACTAGGAGAGGAAAGACTGGAAAGCTGGCGGTGAGGAGGACGAGAGTCGGGTCTCGGCGGCGGCTAAAGGGGGAGCTTCAGGGAGGGGCTGCGGCCCGGGCTTGGTAAAGGGCGAGTCTCAGCGGAGAATGCCTGGGGGGGTGGGGCGAGGGGGGCCGTAAGGGACTAATATGTCCGCCTTCCTGTTCAAACAAACGGGAGACCGCCGGCAGACTGCGCATGCGAGGCGCGCGGACGTTCGGCAAGGAACTAGCCTGGCGCTGCGGGGACGCGCGCGCGAGCGCGCGCGTACCCCGACGCCTTCCTGGGGGCGGGGTGAGGCGGGAGGCGGGACGTGCCCAAGACTTCTGGGGCCGGCGGAGAAGACAGGCAGCTGGGCGGAGCCGATAGGGTGAGGCGAGCGGCTCCGCCCTGACCGGATCTGCTCGGTGGAGCTGCGGGGGCTCTGGAGCTGTGGGGAGGGTCCGGGCGGGGGCGGAGTTCTCCCTGCCCTGCTCTGGTCGCGCTGGCAGCTGCCCGGGCTCTGTCCCTGACTTCAAGCTGTTGGCTGAACTCTGACAAGAAAGGAAAAGTGCTCGTTATTATAGTGGAGATAGGTTCTCTTTTAGGTACGTTGCCGTTTCGCCTAGAGGTTAGCAGCATTTTAGCACCAGTGGAGTGTGGTTTCAGTAGAACTACATCGTGGTCCTTGGTGACCCCAGCAGCGTTTGACGCATCTAGTTTGTAGAAGTCAGGCCCATTTAATTTAAAATAAAAGGAAAATAGGTCCTCCCTAGTGGCGCAACGGGTTAGGACACAGCACTGGAAGCTGGCCTCAGCCACTTCAGTGCGAGTTCCATCCCCAGCCCCGGAGGTGACCCACGTGGGGCTGCAGACCGCTCCTCTCTCACCTGTTGCTCTCCTTAACAGAATACTTCTTCGTTCTGCTCCCCACTCTGTCTCTGGTGAGTCCTCTCACCGCCCCTACACCTCTGACTTGTACCCCAGTTCTGTATGCATAAATAAATAAATCTTTTTTTTAAAAAAAAGGAAAATAATCTAGAAATAAAGCAGTATTTTAAAAATAACATAATAGTTTATTTTAAAATCATTTTGTGCCTTTTTCCATCTCAGTTGTAATCCCTGTGGACTTCTCATCACCAAATCACCTGTGTGCCATCACTATAGTCCAGTGCACTTACTTCTCCCCCCTCCCACCGTTTTTTATCCCATTCCCCCATTTCATCCCTGTAAAATGTCTCTGGTGTATATTTATTCATTATTATTATTATTATTTTCTCGCCTGGTCCTTTATACTCATGCTATGAGTGAAACCATCCAGTATTTTTCCTTTTCTTTCTGGATAAAGCAGTATTTTTGTTCTCCCACACTATTAACACTCACACTGTAATTTTCATGGTGATGTGTAATACAGCTGTTTCCATTTCAAAACTAGTTAAACCTAGAATTGTGATTTTTACCAGAACTAACGTATAACAGGAAAATAATAGGCATTTCCTCCTAATTCAGTTGCTGCATTGACTTTGGTGACAAAAAGTAGACTTGTTACTCAATCTGCTGATAATGTCCTTCACTACTTTCAGTGGGAAATCTACCTTAAGTATGATAAATCTTTAGTTTTACTTATAAGTCAAAATAAGGCTTACCAAAAGTAGAAAATAGGGTTGTTTTTACTGGAAAAATGCTACAATACTGGAAAATGCTATATGTAAAACTTTGTACAACGTCTTTTGTGTGAGTGCATAGGTTAAGAAAAGGTATTGTTTGAAAAATAGCTATTCTATTTTCATTTTGTAAGATACAGGACTATTTAGATATGAAGTCCTATGTACAGATCAAAATAGGAAGTAAATATTCACAAAAATCTAAAGCCTAAAACAAAATTCCGTTTTTTTCATTAAATGTTTCTTTAGTGAGTTTTATTGTCACCAGCATGTTAAGCCAGTCATGTGAATTAAATTTATTTTTAAGCATAGGGCTTAAAATAAATCTGGCAGTAGCACTAAAGTAAACTTCCTAAACTCTGCTTGTCCTTTTTCATTACCATTTTTAGGTATTCTTAGGAATTTTGTTGCTTCTCAGAGAACTGAACATTATGTTGTTTTCAATTTAGACACATGAAAAAGTATAGGTAGCTAAGACATTACATTGTGCTGATAAACATAAGTAGAACTGAAAAACAATCTGGTAATGCTACTACAAACATCTGGAACCTACATAGATACTTTACTTTTCTATAAGGTTATTATAGTGATTGTGATACACCACTTGTCTTTTACCCTATAGTACACAACTCTATTGATTTCTTAATTAAAGAAATCCTCATCTATAATAGTACAAAATCATTGACTTCACAGTTCCTTTCTAATCTTAAAAATTCTATTACCTAGTTGGGACTAATCTCTTCAAAAATATTGTGACCATTTGATCCATTTTAAACTATATATTAAGATCCTACATGCAGTTGTAAAATACTGATATGTATAAATGTAATAAGACTAGAATATTCGTTACATATATTGAGTACTGACTGTAAGTACTAGTCCATGCACTTTAATCGCAGTATCTCATTAAAGCTTCAAAAGAACTCTGCTGTGATAGTACCTACATCATAGATAGGGGAAATGAGGTATGTTACTTGCTCAGTCATGACCAGTCCATACTAGAACAGAAGCAATTGATTCCAAAGTCCCCAGTCCTAAATGCTGAGTATACAAACACTATCAAACTTTATAGAGTGACAACTATTTCACAACCGCATTAGTTTTTATTTATATTAGCAGAGATGTAAGAGACTTTATGTAAAAGAGGGAGTTACAGAATTTGCAATGAGATCAATATGATCCCTAGCAGATCAATAGCATAATCCCTAGGAAAATATGTGAAATGATTTTTAACAGTTTTCTAGGGGAAAAGGAGCTTACTTAGTGATGTTCAGTAACAGTGGCCTTACTAGAGATTCCCAAACAATAGTTCTAAGAATCAGTGTAAGTCGTTCATGAGTTTTCCTGACCTGTAACAATATGAGGATAAAGGGCCCTCCCTGGTGATACAACAGGTTAAAGCAGGCACTGTGAAACTAGCCCTAACCACTTCAGCACAAGTTCCATCCCTGACCAGGGAGGTGACCCACATGGCACAGCAGACCTCTCCTCTCTCGCTTGCTGCTCCCCTCAACAGTGTACTTTTTCAGTCTGCCTGTTCTACTCCCCACTTTATCTCTGGTGAATCCTCTCACCGCCTCTGCACCTCTGGCCTGTACCCAGGTTCTGTATCCATAAATAAATAAATCTTAAAAAAAATTAGGATAAAGACATATTACTATATGCTTTCATAAAGTAACAAGTTCTAATTTAAGACTATCCTTCAACCTGAAATTCTCCTTATTACTTTTTAAGAAATAATGTACTTTCCTACAGTTTTTTTAATATTCTTACTTGAAAATTGTATAAATTAATTTTTCTGGTGTTTGGAATTCAGACATCTGGAAATGTTTAATTTAGATGAGACTCACAGCCCAATGAAGAGACTGAAGGGCTAAAAAAATTTGAATGAGGAGGGCCTCCCTAGTAGTAAAAGGGGTTGAGACTCAGGCTTAGCAGCCATAACAGCAACAGTTCAGCTCTGGCCAGATGGGTGGCCCACATGGCACAACAGACCTCTCCTATCTTCCCCGCTCTGCTGCTCCCCTCAGCGGCATATTTCTGTACAACTGCCTGTTCTGCTTCCTACTCTCTCTCTGGTGCATCCTCTCACCCCCTGCATCTCTGGCCTATACCCCAGCTCTTGTATGCATAAATAAATAATTTTTTTAAAAATCTGAATGAAGCATATTCATGTAAGATCATGAAACTAACATAGCATTTGGTTTTAGACTTATGTATAATGAAAGACGAGTATTTCTTTGCTTTTCGTTATTTGCTAGGAAATACACTCAGTTTAATATTTAAACATAGCTTAATGTTTAAAGAGGGAGTTTCTCTAATAAGTATTGAAGTGGCAGCCTGCTTCCTCATATGGTCCCCAATGAACCACAACTCCCAGTATTCATGCCATACGGGAGTTCACACCCACACTGAATCCAGGCTGGAGTCTTGTGACCAGCTTTAATCAACAGAATGCAGTAAAAGTACACTTTGCCAACATCAGGACTAAACTTTGAGAGTCTGCATGGCATCTCACAGATTAGTGTTTTGCCAAACTGAGATCACCATAGTATGAGGAACCCCAAATTAACCAACCACATGAAAAGACCACCTGGAAGATAACTGAAGAATACAACAGACCTTGAGAACAGATTCTAGACTTGACCCAAGGTGAGTCATTCCACCATTCCTTGGCCATTCCAAATGTCCCAAATGATACCATATGGCATAGAAATAAATTAATCCCTC